TTTGGCTCCCCTCTGCCAGTGGTGCCTGGGGCAAGCTGCCCCACCCTCTGCTGAGAGGTTTTCTTCGTTTGTGAGCGATAGGAAATTCTGAAGTTCCTCAAGGCCAGGCAGCCTCAAAGGATTAACCCATCGTGTATAGCCGCCTTTAGAGACAGAACACTAAAAAATCCACACATCCTTTACAGAACATTTTATTATTTGTTCTGTAAAAAATGTGACCATACCCTGAAAATAGGATGTGGGGAATGAAAAAGATAAGTTCTAGGTGGAATTATATAAAAAGGTAATGGAAATACCAGAGATTGAGAGGTTGATCATTGGGGTGTGATTTAAATGAAGGTGTGGGATGGAGTATAGGTGAGAGAAATAGAAAGGGAGATAAAACAGCTGAATATGCAATAGTATTTGACTTTGCAACAGTCAACACTTATTATATATAATTCTACATAGCTAAGTAATAATAATTCTATTAGTTTTAGGTAGAAACAAAATATCCTAAATGTTTATCGATATATGTAAGATAATTCACACACAAAAAGTAAGAAAAAAAAAAAACCATAAGTATGGAAAGATTTTTTTGTATTATGTGTTTTAATTATGGAATCAACGAGTCTATGAATAAATATTCATTAATTGTGTGTAGAAATATCAATATTATATTATTATGTGATATATCTATTATATACACACACAAAAAAATGAAATAACATGTATACAAATGCATATATTAGGTTGTTCAGAAAGTAATTTCGTTTTTTTTACTACTAAACGAATTAGTTGTATTTTTCCTGCCATTTTCATTCTAAAGCATATTATCAATATATATTTTGACAGCTAGCATTTTAAGGCTTATTTGTAAACAATTTTGTTTGATTTTGTGCAATTGTTTATTTTTTGTGTCCCATCAAATATGGAATATCGAAAGCAGCATTTTCAGCATATTTTGCTTTTTTATTACCGAAAAGGTAAGAATGCTGTTCAAGCAAGAAAAAAATTGTGTGACAAATTTCGTTTTTATGGTGTTCGATCCAGCTATTTCACCTGAAGAGCACAGAAGGGGTTAAGAAAACGTTCGTCTATGAAAGATTAATTGGATACACATCGGTTATAGGTTCATGTAAGTCATATTTATTTTATTACTAGATCCTTTATTAAGACCACATTCTCTTCTGAAGATGCTATTTTTACCTTAAGAAAGAAAATTTCATTTTTTAAGTGAAAATAGAAAGATTATTGACAGGATAACTGCTAAATAATGATATTAGCTTACAATTCTAGTCATAACATGAAAAATAGATATATACAATAGTATGAGTATTTAAGTATGATAAATAAAAATACACTGGAACCACAATATCTTCTATTCTGAATACCGGTATTTTGAACAATCTCGTATTCATTTGTTTAAACTTTACTTTCTGGTACTGCTTAAACTTCGTAAAACAATTTGTACAATGGAACCTCACTTTAATGAGCATCTCGCATAACAAGTAAAACAAATAGTAAAAAAATGACTTGTTTAACAAGCGACAAGGAGAGGGGAAGTCCCATGCTCCATCAGTCTGTGTTTAGCACTCGTTCCCTAGCATCTTAGTGTTGCTTGTTATCAAACATTTTTCCAAACTTGTGTTCACATATACTAGGTATAAACATCAACAACAATAGCCCGTTATATAATAAACATGCCAAACAATATGCCAAATTTTTGGGCTATGTACAGGCTATAATTAAATATTAAAAATTACTTAATCTGACTAGAGGTAGGCAGTTATGCTGTCATCTCATATTAAATTTAATGACTATTAAATTTAATATCCTTATAAATAATTTAATGACCAATTCCAAATTAAATTTTAGAAATGTCTAAATTAAAAATTAATTATTTATAATTATTAAATTTAATACAAGATGACAGCATAACTGCCCACCTCTAGTCAAATTAATTTAATTTCTAATATTAATTTAATATATTCAGTGCTACTGTTGCAAAATTAGTTTCTAATTGATATTTTATGAACACTCTGAGAGGACAGACTGCACCGATCTTCTCTGAGTAGTAGTAACCAAGGACTACCTAAATAAATTATAAGCAGAATGTAAAATGCAAAAATTGCAATTAAATTTGATAACAATGAGTAATGATTTGCATTATGGCTGCATATCAAAGGCAAAATGTCATTTTGTTTCCTGTAAAGATGTATTGTTGATAATAGAAAGTTAGAAAATTTCCAAAAGGACATACACATTTTACACTACTATTGTTAATATAGTAAATGATTACTCAGCAAAACAAATTTAGATTATTCAGATTTGCTGAATAATTTTAATGTTATTGCTGAAAGAAGAATTGTATAATGATGCAATGATTTGATATTGCAAATATAAGTTTTTTTAACTTTTCTTAATTTTTTTCTAATTTCTTCAATGATATATATATTTTCTCAAAATTAGGAAGAACAGTTTTCTTTAAAAAATTTCTTTAAGAGGTTAATGACAGCCTATAGACAAGGGGTCTCCAAAGTGGTCAATATTGACCCCTGGGGGTTGAAAATTAGTCAGAAGTTGATTGAAAATGGTTCATTAAAAATGATTAGTCCAGTGGACATTTATGATGGTTCAGGATGTTGTAAATTTGCACACTGTAAGTAGACCTTTTCTATGAAAATGGGTGCATGGATTAATAATAGCTCACCAGATTTGGAAAAAAGAAGAGGTGGTCAATAAAAGGTCAAGGAATCCAAAGTCTTACTGTAGACTGAAGTGGATATTGTGTTGAATTGGGACTGAAGAGAGGAGTCTTATCTTGGGATGTCAGGTCAAAGTTTGATTAACATTGGGATGATCTATCTCAACTATGTAGCTTGTCTGTATTAGCAGTAGATTTGAGAAATTTAGCAGGCAAGAGTAACAATTAATTCAGAATTAAGAGGGAAATTCAATTGTCTGATAAAAAGAATCATTTTTACTAGTGAACTAACTACAGGAAATCATCACTAGTTTGAAATTTAAGGAAAGAAATAATCTCAACTTCAAGTTATCCAAGATTTACATATTTCTGTACAGTATGCCAAATGCCACATAACTGATGTAATTAAGCAAACAGAATAAGGCTATGTATACATAACACTATTTTCATTAATTAATTAATAATAATAATATAAATAAACTGCAGGTAAACAGTACATATCCAGTGAGAATACAGGTTGCCAAATAGGTTTAACAAAAAGTAAAGCACAATTCCTCAAAATGTAGCCCAAATTATTTTTATTAATTATTTTTAAAGTGACCCAAAAAGTAGTAAGTCGCTTAAATGCAGTAGCCTGAGCCCTACAAATATCTCAGTATGTTACTTGTAGTCCAATTTTGCAATCCTGAAAACCAGCTGTATATTATGAGATAAGAGAAAAAAGGATAGACACCCGAAAATATGTTACTGTAAAAGCAAAGCCATATTGACCAGATTATAGTTGTTCTTGGTCTATTGTTCTCTTACATTGTGAAGGCACTTTGATCTAAGTGAACATGTTAATACAGTATATGCATATCACAGTTTGGACAGAATTCTCACTTTAAATTTTGAAGTAGATACATTTCGAACTAACTGAATTCCTTAACCTTTAAATCTCTATATCCCTAGCTGGGGCAAAAGTACAGTTATGAACTAACAGGATTTCGAACTATCTGAATTTGAATTAACAAGGATTTCTTGTATATTAATGTAAATTAACTTCATGGAAAAAGTGTACATCTCCATGGCAGACATCTCCTTATAAACAAGAAAATGATAAGGATAAAAGCAGGCATCTATAAGAACTGGAGTTTTATCCTTTTTTTCAACAATGATCAGAATTGCCATTATAATATTTACATTTATGTAGATTTTATTATAAATTGTCACTCTTTCTTAGAGGAAATTAAATGTAAAATAAGGTTACCATTTAGTAATTGCCATTTTTTCATCTATAATAATTTGGCACTGCGACTGAAAATTAAATGACGTAAAAAAATTATTTTAATTATTCTGTAATCAATTGTACTAAAAGATGACATAAAAGTATAATTTGCTTATTATAATACAGTGGAGCCTCGCTTAACGAGCATAATTCGTTCTGGAATCTTATTCATAACGTGAAACAATTTTTCTCCAAATAAATTAATGTAAAATACGATAATGCGTTCCATGCTAAAAAAATACTCAAATATTTCATGTATAACATTTATTCAAAGAAAATTATACAATATGTATTGTTAAGGAGTGTGAATCATCATCATCTTTTCTTCTAGTGCGGAATGAACCAACCTGGAATGCGAATTTGATTTGTAGGAAAAAAAATCAGATAATACATCTGATAAACATGCCAAATGATATGTCAAATTCTTGGGCTATATGTACAGGCTATAATTAAATATAAAGAGATGCACAGGCAAAGAAAAGAAAAGTGCTAATCTTGATTAGTGTGTTTTTGTATTAATGCAGTTTACTAATTACAAACAATTTTTTCTTTTTTGGTATAACATGGTGCCAAAGAGGGTATGAAGAGTTTGGTTAATGTGTAAATTTTAAGGAACATACCTAATTCATTAAGTGAGGATTTAATAAGGATTACCTGTATTCAAAAAAAAAAATCCCATTTTGTTTGTGGACATTCTAGAATGAACTATTCCTGACTCAAACAATAACATTTACTAAATTTTGTTTTGCCTGTTTAAATTTTTATAATAAATTCTAAGTTTTAATCATTGACATATCTTTTAATATTTCAATCATTATTTCATTTATTTGATATTCAAAAACTACTTCTGTTAGAAATGATACAGCCTTTTAATTAAATTACTGCATGAAAATTTCATCTGACAAAGGGCACATTCCATATCATAGAACAAAGGGGCCAATGCCCAATCTGATATTTCATCATAGAAANTATATGAGTACATTTATCACATTAAAGTTTTTCCTATACTTATTTAACTTTGCCTCTTATGTATTTACAAAGATAAGAAGAGTGCCTGGTCCCTGGGTCCTGGTTATGATACAATCTCACCAAGTAATCATTAATATGCTGTCATTAAGAGATTCTGATAATTTATAGTATTAAATATAACAAAGTATCATTTTAATTATTTTAATATTATTTAAAATTAAAACATTTATTAATAATTTATTTTTCCATTGATAATCAAGCAATTATGAATATGCTATCTGCAAAGAAATTTTCTAGTACTTCAATGTTGAATCGGAATAAGATTTTAAATATCCTGGATCCTGTAAAAGCGGAAGATAGCGAATTAGAACTAGAAGCAAAATTAGATAAATTGCAAAGATTGGATTGCTGGAATGAATCAAAAAGGATTGGATTTTATTCAAAAATCCAAGTGCAATTGGATAAACAGCAGTAAGAGATATTTACTTTACAAATTAAAATAAATTAAATTATAGTATTTTAAAAATATTTTATTTCCTTTTAGGCATATTATCAATGATTTATTGAAAGAAAGAAATGAATTGGAGTTGAATTTAAACAAAGCTACAAGTAAAATTTTTCTGAGAGAGAATGAGAAATGGTCTGTAGAATTTACAGAACTTTTAGAATATCAAGACAAATTAAAATTGTTAACAAATGATGAGGTTCAGAAGATTGAAAAGATTGAGGAAGAGGTATGTTTAAATTTTGAGTGATATTCAATTAAATATTCTGTCTTTATGACATCCAAACTAATTAATAGATTCAATGATGCTATTTTTAACAAAGCATTAAAAGTTTAATTATAGTAGTTCTATCGGTTAAAGTTTACCTTGGTAGTCCCAATGGCGGCACTTTGATTAGGTTAGGTTAACTACATTTTTAGTAGACGTTTCCTTTTTTTCTTTTGTTCAAGAACTACCGTGAATCACTAACTAGTGATGTTAAACAATCGGTGGCCTGCCGGCGGCTCCCGTCCGGGAGGAGTCTGTTGGAGCATGAACAGTCAGAAGCGCAGCCATTGGGGCTACCAAGGTAAACTTTAACCATTCTATCTTTATTAATGTTAAAGATGTTTTCATGCAGCAAGTCAGAAGGTTGAGAAGTAGAGAATTTTTGTAACTTTATGACATTAAAAGTTGTATGAAAATGTATTTTATGTTAATAAAGGTAACTGTATTTGTGTATTGCTTTGCCTATCTACTATCTTTAAATTGTTATTTAATTATTGTATAAAATTTAATCCCAATAACAATATATTTTTACTGTAAGTGAGATTTTAGATTATGTGAACAGCAAGCATTTACAAGATCCCTTTTATGTAAGTGTAGATAACATATAAAGTCTGCATCACATTGTATCAATATGCATATCTGTACATGTCAGAGGCCCTAAAAGCTTGGACACACATGAATACATAAAGACCTTAGGACCTCAGACATGCAAAAATTTAAGTCATAGGCAAAAGTTCAGGATCTTGCATTTACATGCTTAAAAGTTGGTATTGTTAATTATTATATACAAACTATCTNATGTAAAGGTTTGTTTGAGTGGATTTAGTTAAGAAATGCAGTCTCGGACAAGTCATAGAAATACATTACCAACAATGTGCTGAGTACTTTTCAGATTTCTTAGCTCATTTTAGGTTCGATATTTGTAAATACATAAATAAATCACAGTTAATAAAGTTCAAAGATTCAAATTGTTATGTAAAACGATGAAATCAATAATTCTGAAAGGTCCATATTTATAGTCAAATCTTCAAATTTCATCTTTTGAATGCTAAATTGCATTAAGTTTGAATAAAATACAACATTCTAGATATAATTTTATGTAGGGCACTACATTTTATTCAAACTCAACTACAAAATCTAATGCTCAAAAGTTAACATTTGAAGCATCTATATCAGGGATTCTAAATGGAGTTGATACAGACCCCTTGGGAGTCAATGGAAATCAAGGGTTTATTGGGGAATGGAAAAAATCAGATAATTATTGTACATTTTCAAATAAGAATAATAATGATTATGTGAGAAATTTGTTAACTGATTTAATAATTTACTTGATATGTTACACACAGTCTTGAAAATTAACAAAAATTTTAAGAGGCTGATTGAAAGGAATATTTTCTACATGAAGGCTAAGAAAAAGGTTGGGAACCTGATCTACAGCAATCTGTATGTATATATACAGGAAATCCTCATTAATTCAAACTCAGATAGTTTGAAATCCTGTTAGTTCATAACTGTACTTTTTTCCCAACTGGGAATATAGGGATTTCCCCAGAAGGAATACAAAATATAAGGAATTTGGTTAGTTCAAAATATGGCTACTTTAAAATTTGAAGTGAAAATTCTGTCCGAACTGTTGTATGAGTATGTTAACTCGTTTGTTTAGATCAAAGTGCCTACATGCTATAAGAGAACAATAGACCAAGAACTGTAATCTGTTCAATATGACTTTGCTTTTACTGTAACACATTTCTGGATGTCACCTTATACATTGACTACTCTTTTTTCTCTATCTCATAAAATACAGCTTATTTTCAAGATTGCAAGATTGGGCTACAAGTAGCAGATTGAGATATTTGTAAGTTCTACACTACTATATTTGGGTAATTTACTACTTTTTGGGCCTTTTTAAAATAATCTGAGCTACATTTCGAAGACAGTGGTAGAATATTTACACCGAAGTACTGTAAAAATGCACATATCTATAAGCCTTTTACTGGTGTGCATCTCATCACACTATACAATAAAGTTACAAACATTTTCAAACTGTTATGGTTCTTCATGTAACGACTTCCCTAACAGAATGCACTTCAATTCAAAGTTGTTATGAAATATGATCCGGAACGTTGTCCCAACCCGATGACGTCATTACGGACTTGCACACTATGCATGCTATGTTCTATCTTAGAGTTTTATCCAGTAGGGCCTGCCAGACTGCGGATAGAGCAATTTCCTCCTTGTAGTTAATGCAAGCGAGGCAATGGAGGCAATCTATATATGCTTAAACACTATTAAAGAGAGTAATTGCATTAACTACAAGGAGGAAACTCTAAGATAGAACACAGCATGCATAGCATGCAAATCTGTAATGATGTCATTGGGTCAGGACAACGTTTTGGATCGTATTTCATAACAACTTTGAATCGAAGCGCATTCCATTAGGGAGGTCATTACCTGATGAAGAACCGTAACAGTTTGAAAACATTTGTAACTTTATTGTATAGTGTGATGAGACACACACCGGTAAAAGGCTTATAGATATGTGCATTTTTACATTTCGAGGAGTTCTGCTTTACTTTTTATACAACCTATAAGGTTCTCACTGGATGTGTGCTGTTTACCACATATCCAGTGAGAACGTTATGCTGTTTACCAGTTGTTTGGTTTTAACACACCTTAGCAATGATAATTTGTGATGTCATATTTCAGAAAAAGTAATTTCATTTCAAACAACATTCTGATTGAAATGCAGATAAAAATCATTTAGCATGAAACTCCTCAAAAATTCTCTTCTTTTGATTTTGTTATCTCAACAGAAACTCATTAAGACATTGTTATTGTCATCTGTTAATAAATAAATAAAGAATTCTTCACAAAACACTATAAATTGGAGGCTAATGTTTTTGAGTAAAATTGAAAATAATCCAACAACCATTTGGTTAGTTATACAATAACATGCCTATATATTTCATTTTTATCCTCAGCTGGGAAATGTCAAGTTAAATTTGGGACACCTGATACATAAACTTGGGCACTAATGATGAAAAATAGAAAATTTTAATATAGTAAAAGTTCATTCATCTAGAATGTCTAGTTATCTGGCATTCTAAAAGCTAGCCAATAATCCAGAAATGTTCAATAACCTAATATGCTAGTATTCTGCAAGTCAGAATCTGGACATGAGGTAATGTACATTAAAAACCTAAGGTAATAACATGTTCATTAACATTTTTGCAAGATTCTCAATCATTCCTAACACTGTATAGTCATGCACTTTATCATCTTTAGACTGATTAAAGTGTGGGCATAAACAAATCAGAAACATATAGCAGTCTATACTGGAACAAAATGAGCAGCAGTGTCTAACATTTGATGATCTGGCAACATCTCAGTCCCATACTTGACAGATTAACAAACTTCTACTGTGTTTTAATTTTTACATTTACTCACTTTTCCTGTTTAACTCTAGGAAAAGATTGCTTCATCTGAATATTTCACAATAAAAGAGTATCCAATTTTTGCAATAGAAGGTATGAAATAAGTTGTTTCTTCTTCAAAAATAATTTTTGTAGGAAAATGAGAGGAAATCCTATTTTAAAATAAAAGAATGCAGCAGTTTGATTAGAAAGCACAAACATGAATGCACAGATGTATAGGTGAACAGTGCATGGTAATATCTGCCTTAACTTCTAGAATCATCTCCATATACACTGCAATCATAAAGTCTCTCTACAGTGGACCACATCCATGTGGCCTAGGCAAATGGTATCATCATAACTTAGTTTAACTTTTTCAATGTGTGGTCTGCTTGTGTCATTACTCAGTTTCTGAAAACTCCTCCCTTTTCCCTACCCACTGTGGAGCAACTTCACAATAGCACTGTAGTTACTAGAAAAGCTAATCAAGTAGCAGATATAGATGAAGACAACAAAAAACTATAGTACAAATTTCATCCTTTCTATCTTCATTACATTTAATTTATCATTATTATTTAAGAAAACATTTAGTAAGAAAATATGGAAATGATTAAAAGCAAAATCTAACTACGAGGGTTATTGTTTTTTCAACCTCCACATTAATGATATTGAGAGATCCACACTTAATGTCATTAAGAAGTTCTTGGAAACTGTGACAATAAGCAAAATGACATATAACAAAACCAATTATAAACTGACATGCCAAAAAAAATTGAGACAGCAGCACATGCAATGTTGTTACCTCCTATCCACGGGAGAAATGCATTGAGCTGGAACATTTGCACATGATGCCATAGTACGATACTTATCAGTTATGTGTGAGCTTGGTTAAAGTAGCAATGGGTTATGTACAACTGTTGGAGCAAGAAGAATGGGTTACTATCTGCTAGATGGTCAATGGGATTCTTGGATTTTCTTGTGCAACAATTTCAAGGGTTTACTGGAAATACTTAAATTCAGGACAGACATCAGCAGCACATGCACAGTGTGGTTGCTCACAGCTGATACAAGAATCTGACTGCTGGTGGTTAATCAGGTAAGTAACCATGCAACAAAGGACAACTGAGTCAAATCATATCAGACTTCAACACAGGTGCTGCTAAACCCATCAACAGTCAACACACTGTACAATGTACACTATATTCTTTGAGATTTGGTAATTGTTGACCCATTCAGGTACCTCAGCTTAGGTAGGAGAGATTCACATCTGTTAGGTAGTGTAATCCTCTATATAAACATAGGAAGACCTGATTGAGTTTACATTCCTGAAAGAATTTCAGTTTAACTCTCACTTTTGTTCATAGTAACACAGATTTCTTGTATATCTTGGCTGGCATTTCCATATATGCTAAAGTGCAAAACTAAAACTGGAATAGATAATATAATAAAATGCACACCATTCACAATTTTTCAGTAAGTGGAATTTGTGGAACAAACATAATACTACTAACACCCAGGGATTAGGCAATGTGCCTCACCTGGACAGAGAACATCGAAATTGGACAGTAGATGACTGGTGCTATGTTGTGTGGTCAGATGAATCTTGTTTTCAGGTCTTTTAAGCCGACAGTTGTTTGTGTGGTGACAACCACGTGAAGCCATGAATCCATCATGTCAGCAAGATGTCATGCAAGCTGGTGGCTGATTTGGAGTGCATTCTGGTGGTGTGAACAGGGACCAATGGTAAAACTGCAGTTGACTTTAACAGGTGTGACATACACTGATCTTCTAGCAGACATTTATACTTGTATGTTTCCTGACAGTGATGGTTTGTACCAGCAGGATAATGCTACTCCTTACAGGGTGCAGGTGGTACAAGAATAGTTCAAGGAACACTTGACAGTTTTTCAGCTGCTGCCTTGATTGCCAGACTTGAACCCCATTGAGCATCTATGGGACATTGTGCAAATGCCAATCAATGTCAATGCCTTGCAGAACTATCCAACAAGTGAAACTGAATTATGGAAAGCCATTGAACATGTCATGAAATAACTGTGCAACAATTAGACACCTAATAGAGTCTGTCATTGTCCTATAGAAACCATTATTCAAGCTCAAGGTGGAGCTAAATGTTACTAGGTAATGTCTCTTAATTTTTTGGCACTTCAGTTTACTATACACTAAATAACATAAGCAAAATAGAATTCAATTAATATTTATTCTTATTGGATCATGTTTGTAATTATTTCCCCATCTCAAAGAATCAATTTTACTGCTTAAAAGAAAATTCAACAAATAATAATACCAACAATTGTAAATAATTACAAATGTATTTTGCTGGATAGTTTGAATTTAGGTGTGATTCGCAACTCTACAGTTCCAGTTTATGGTGAGGTTGTATTTATTTAAAATGTATTTTTGTCCTTCTGCAACATTATAATAAAATGACATAAAAGTGAGGACTTGTACTTTCAGTTTTAAAAATTTCATAACTCTACAATATCATAGTCCAAAAATATCATAGTTAGTAAATTTTTTTGCGGTTTCAAGGTTATTGTTGTGTGAATTTATTTATTCATAACTCCCTTAGCTATATGATGTAAAGTATACATAATGTATGTTAAAAGAAGAATTACTTGAATATGGCTAATTGTAAGATCTCAATGAAGTATATTTCTGTAAACTAACATTTTAAAATAGGATTTTCAATAGAAAGACACTTTTAGATATCTATATTCAAAATGCAGAATCAATAGTCAAAGTTAGTATTCCTCTTACTTTAAACATTTGTGAACATTTAATAAAATTATATGTAACCATAGTTCCAAATACAAATATTAAATTTACTATGAAATGTCTAAACAAAAGAATATATCATCTAAAATTTATACTTGGTATCATTCAATAAAACTTGATTCAGAAAAAAACTTTAAAAAATTGGTTCACTAATTTCACTTTGCCCTTGCATTTGCTCACACTTCTACACAACAAAATATAGTGCGAGGCTGTATAATGAAGATTTTTATCAGAGAAATGAGACAGATGCTTTTATAGCAAGTAAATCAATGTAAGATAAGTGTATTTTAACACAATACTAAAACAATTCTGTAGATTCAAGCTAGAAGTAAAAAATCAAAGAGCAACGATTTAAGCTTAGTTCACATTGAGCACGATTCTCTGGCTAAAGCGAAAAACAGAGCGAATAACATGTCAGACACGACGTCATTACCAGCCAATTTTACCATTTTGCCAATCACTTCAAAGTTTGGAACCGTCAAGCTTTTTCACTAGCAAAAAAATTTCATTATTAATCATATTCCCACTAATAGTTGCATGGTTCTCACTGTTTTTGAGATAGCTACGGAAACTTTCTCGCATAATAGAGTAGATGTTGTAATTCGCAGTTTTTAAGTATTCCTCTCACCCAGAATCATTTTCTTTTCTCAATAGATAAACAAACATGGTTAACAACAAAATATTGGAAGCAGCCATTTTGTTTTTGGAGACAAAATTTTCTCTCGCTTGAAAATGATTGTCTACTTAAAATTCGCAATAGCTTTTCACTTTTGGTTGTGCAGATCAATTTTGCCAGAAGAATCAAAATCGCTTTTCTCATTCACTTTTGCTATTCGCTCAGTGTGAACTAACCTTTAGTATTTGTTAAAGTTACTCAAGAATCTATGCTACAAATTGAAAAACTGCAAGAATCATATCTCAACAGGAAATACACTTTAGAAAACCATTATGTACACCAAGCTCTACCAAGTGATACCATTTTTTGGACTGCCACAGACCTGCTTAGATACTGTTGTCTGTTGTTTAGATGGTAAATATTCACCTAAGTAGCCACAATGGTGGCACCTCCGTTAATGGGGTGCCAGTTGTTTTCACTACCTTTTTAGTGAAATAGATGTTTTCTTTTGTATTTTTTACATAAATCACACCACCTCCACAATTGTCGACCCTTGGCGTGATATTCATTTCTGAAGGTCAGTTTTTAATATACATCAGTCTACCACTATCCTATACGCTTCACACGTAGGTGTGTGCTTCGGTGCTGGCTATCGCTTGCACTTCAACACCCGAGTGGGGGCTTGCCCCTACACCTCCTAAAACTATATTACATCAAATATTCCATGAACAGTCAAGTGGGCTATTCGAAGCCGGCACAGTCGCGTGGGCTGAATTGTTAAACACGATACCGCCATTGGGGCAACTGTTTAAGCATTATAGAGTTATATTAAGGGCATTTTTCTACTGAAATTCTCTATATATTTTGATTGAATCCTGTAATTAACCATATTCAAGTGGAGACTTTGGTGCTTTCTCTCTCTTGAACTTGTACTTCTAGCTAATGCAGTTTAATTTAACTCCATATTGTAAGGATTTAAATGGATAGAGGTATTAATTTATGCCATAAACTCAACAATTATTCATAAAAATGTAATTTCTTTTTTGAAAATTTGATTAAATTTAAGATTATAGGAGAAAAACCATTCAAATTATACGAATGAATTTTAAATCATCTCAATTACATCCATTTCTTCCATTAATCCACGTACCCCCAATTCAAAAGGTACGTGTATTCACGTTGATTAATGACCTATAATTAATCAAAAGATAATATATATTTATCATTTTCTATTAAATTATGCATCCCAAATATATAATGGAAGCAATTTGAAAATATGCATAAATAATTACTTGGAAAAAACTGTAAATAATGGCAAAGTCTTGCTGGAGCAAGAGGTCATAACCTTCCAGAAGCTCGCCATCTTCCCATGTTTCCTTGCGAAATTTGATTGATGACGTAAATTGTTATCAATTTCATCTAAATGTAATTTATCGAATTTATATTATAAAATAATTTTTAAAATAAGTTTCGTTTAAAATAATATAATATTTTAAGTTATTTATTAAATAAATTTTTAATATTAGTAATTTAATTTATTAAATTAACTCGTTAGGGTGAATTATGGGACCGAATATCAAACGATTATAAATTATAAATTAAAATTTTAAAATTATATTTTAATAATAACGTTTTTTTTAGATAGATAACAAACCAATAATATAGTCCGTTTCAAATGAAATGGGTTATATTATTGACTTACTTATCCGGCTGTATTAATTAAAACCGCAACCACTAAGCAACGCACNAAATTTAATCCCAATAACAATATATTTTTACTGTAAGTGAGATTTTAGATTATGTGAACAGCAAGCATTTACAAGATCCCTTTTATGTAAGTGTAGATAACATATAAAGTCTGCATCACATTGTATCAATATGCATATCTGTACATGTCAGAGGCCCTAAAAGCTTGGACACACAGGAATACATAAAGACCTTAGGACCTCAGACATGCAAAAATTTAAGTCATAGGCAAAAGTTCAGGATCTTGCATTTACATGCTTAAAAGTTGGTATTGTTAATTATTATATACAAACTATCTAATCTTCATTTTTATATTATGAATTTTTACTGTTTTATACATTTATGAAATATAATCTATAAAATTAATTGTATCAGTTTATATTAATTAATTAATTATTTTTTTTTTTTCTTAAAGATAAAACAAATAGATAAGCAGATACATCATTATCAAATTCAACTATACAATGCAAATAAAAATATTTCCCAGACCTCAAATCATAAAAAACTTTGGATTCTGGAGAATAAACTATATCAGGTAATATAAAAAAAAATTTTTTTCATGTAAATAAAATGATATAATATATACATATTATGAGTATTAAAATACATGCTTCATTATCTCATAACTTACCAAAGTTAAATTATCTAACAAATCAGTGCCTTACTTGAGCATTATCAGGGCTGCTCTACATCTAGGACTCATACAAGCTCTTGACAACCCTAGGTATTACTAGTTCTTGTTATTTTATTTAGGAAATAATAAAAGAGTTATAGATTTATTCTTTTACAAGATAAATAGACATACAATCTTTAGCAGCATATAAAACTTTATACTGTATATTGATAATGTTTTTGATATGACTGATCAGTCATCTTCAGGCAATATTTATTTTTCTTGAAGATGACGCATTAACTGGGTTGAAAACTTTAGCAATATTCAAATTTTCATGTATTGCTAAAGCTATTGCATTTGTTTATCTTGTATACTGCATTTGTTTATTCTGTTATATCATTTTTATACTTATTTCTTTTTAGAACTTCTAAATTAATTTCTTCAAATGGTAAATGTAGTTCAAAATAACCAAAGATGAAATGTTTCATGGCAGAACATCTCACAAAATTTATTGTTTTTGATAATTTTAAAGTAAATTTACAGTATTTTTTTTAACATACTCTATACATACATTAAATATTCAGAATAAACATAATATTAATGATAAGACAATATAATTTATTCACTATATTTTATTTTAATTTTTGGTTCTTTCTACTCTGGAGGCACTAGAGTATTTTTTCATAGACATTGTGGGTTTGGCCAAGCCTGTATCAGGGTTGTCAAGTGGTAAGGGACAGGGCTGGACAAATCTCCCATGAAAAATTCCTGTTATTTTTCGATCACCTGGATTTTACTCCCCAGAGTTTTAGGCTGATGCTGTAACTATTTCTTAATATCTTCATATTTTTATATAGATGTTATTCAATCATACTTTTAATAGTTAGATAACATTTAGTTATCTTTCATTGATTGTGCTCAAACTTTTTATTTGTGGAACAAATTGTATGTAGGTATAAGTATTCAGGCCCAGAGAAAAAGCTACTGGGGGATTTGAGGAGGTATTTTGCCTCTCCAATATTGGCAAATTCTACTGAATAGTTGACAAAGTCATATCATTAAAACACCAAGACGTGATGATAAATTTTCTTTGGAATAAGTGAAATACAAAAATATTGATATAAAGAAGAGGCATGAGGGATGAGAAGATTGCAGAGTGCTGATCTTCTTGACTGGTACAATAGGTGCCAAAATATATAGTACTGAAATGAAAAGATGAACAATATGAAAAGACAAGTTTCAGTACTGTATATTTTTGGCATACTGTACTTTATATGAACTATCAATATCAGCAATAGATATCTGTTGGTAAAATTAGCATCTATGTTTCAACATGCCCCTCAATGATAAAAGTCTAAATATGGTTCTGGGCTGGTCACAAATATTTTGTATATTTCATACATGCTAGAGGTGAGCTTATTTCTGTCATTTATAAGTGATGTGTCAAATATTTTTGTGGGAAAGATTAATGTGTGCCGTGAGCTGGATTTGATCCAGTGGCTGTAGTTTGGACACCACTGCCCTACATAATCTGCTTACTCTGCATAATTATAAGACTATACAGCAAACATGAGTGACTTTTTCTATTGTGGCATACTATCAAGTTTACTTTAAGCTGTATCTCTTCACTCATTCTTCTTTATATCTCTTCAGTTGTTATCTCATTCACAAAGCCTTTTGCTTTCTATTTTTGTATAATGCTATATCTTAAATATCCTATTCTTCATTTTGTTTTCTTTTAAAGTTCACAACTCACTTCCATAACTCATTACACTCCATTAATTAGCCATTAATTAGAAACTTTTCTTGCATATAGAATGATAGGAGAAACTGAGCTATACTAAGGCATTAAAATTTTAAATTATTATTTTTACAGATGACTGTGAAACATAATATTATGGTAAATAATAATAAGAATTTGAGGGATTACATTACTCTTTTGTTAAAGTTAAGATTCAATTTGAATCACGTCTTTGCTCATTATAGTAGAATTTTAATTAAAAGAAAAACGAAAATACAAAATTTATGTAAAGATGCAAAAACAATTTATGATCAAAGGTATTTTGGACTATTTTTTTCTATTTTAAAAATGTTGAATTTAAATTGAAATTACAAAATGATTTTCTAGGGAGGAAATTAGAAATCATTTACAAACTTTAGAAGAAACAAGTCAGTTGGAATTCTATCAGAATTCTCAAAAAATTAAAGAATTTACGAAGCTTCTAAAATTTCAAAAAGATCTATCAACTTTTATGACCCAAAAACAAAAGCCAAGGACAGAAGTTAAAGAATCAATGGACAAGTAAGTGTTTTGTTTCTAACTCCATCTGCTTTTCAGGTTCTAAGAGGGCCATTTTTCCATTACAGGTCTGCCAAACCAAGGGTTTGGCCAGACCCATAATGAATGTAGTTGTACAGTGAGAATAACATAACAGGTTGGAACCACTCATGAAAATTTTTGATCGTTTTGATCTGGCTCTAATCAAGATCAGCTAGGACAGCAGGCCTTTATTACTTTTGCCATCTGGTTTTGACAAATAAGTGTTGAATTTATTCAAAAATGATGCAATTAATTTTGTAATTTATTATATTTTAACATGTAATATTTATGATTTTATAATTATTTCTGTATTAAACATTATACAGAAGCACAAAGTATCATAATGAAGAACTAATGTAACAGTGGAATATGAAATTGTTTATCATTTAAGAATGTTTTTTGACTCATTTTTGGAAATATATTATTCAAAAAAATAAATTTATTTTAACATATGTTACACATTTAATTATTAATTTATATTTATTGAAGTTTATATAGAAACTTATTCGTGAATTAGTATCATACCCCAGACCTCAAATCATAAAAAACTTTGGATTCTGGAGAATAAACTATATCAGGTAATATAAAAAAAATTTTTTTCATGTAAATAAAATGATATAATATATACATATTATGAGTATTAAAATACATGCTTCATTATCTCATAACTTACCAAAGTTAAATTATCTAACAAATCAGTGCCTTACTTGAGCATTATCAGGGCTGCTCTACATCTAGGACTCATACAAGCTCTTGACAACCCTAGGTATTACTAGTTCTTGTTATTTTATTTAGGAAATAATAAAAGAGTTATAGATTTATTCTTTTACAAGATAAATAGACATACAACCTTTAGCAGCATATAAAACTTTATACTGTATATTGATAATGTTTTTGATATGACTGATCAGTCATCTTCAGGCAATATTTATTTTTCTTGAAGATGACGCATTAACTGGGTTGAAAACTTTAGCAATATTCAAATTTTCATGTATTGCTAAAGCTATTGCATTTGTTTATCTTGTATACTGCATTTGTTTATTCTGTTATATCATTTTTATACTTATTTCTTTTTAGAACTTCTAAATTAATTTCTTCAAATGGTAAATGTAGTTCAAAATAACCAAAGATGAAATGTTTCATGGCAGAACATCTCACAAAATTTATTGTTTTTGATAATTTTAAAGTAAATTTACAGTATTTTTTTTAACATACTCTATACATACATTAAATATTCAGAATAAACATAATATTAATGATAAGACAATATAATTTATTCACTATATTTTATTTTAATTTTTGGTTCTTTCTACTCTGGAGGCACTAGAGTATTTTTTCATAGACATTGTGGGTTTGGCCAAGCCTGTATCAGGGTTGTCAAGTGGTAAGGGACAGGGCTGGACAAATCTCCCATGAAAAATTCCTGTTATTTTTCGATCACCTGGATTTTACTCCCCAGAGTTTTAGGCTGATGCTGTAACTATTTCTTAATATCTTCATATTTTTATATAGATGTTATTCAATCATACTTTTAATAGTTAGATAACATTTAGTTATCTTTCATTGATTGTGCTCAAACTTTTTATTTGTGGAACAAATTGTATGTAGGTATAAGTATTCAGGCCCAGAGAAAAAGCTACTGGGGGATTTGAGGAGGTATTTTGCCTCTCCAATATTGGCAAATTCTACTGAATAGTTGACAAAGTCATATCATTAAAACACCAAGACGTGATGATAAATTTTCTTTGGAATAAGTGAAATACAAAAATATTGATATAAAGAAGAGGCATGAGGGATGAGAAGATTGCAGAGTGCTGATCTTCTTGACTGGTACAATAGGTGCCAAAATATATAGTACTGAAATGAAAAGATGAACAATATGAAAAGACAAGTTTCAGTACTGTATATTTTTGGCATACTGTACTTTATATGAACTATCAATATCAGCAATAGATATCTGTTGGTAAAATTAGCATCTATGTTTCAACATGCCCCTCAATGATAAAAGTCTAAATATGGTTCTGGGCTGGTCACAAATATTTTGTATATTTCATACATGCTAGAGGTGAGCTTATTTCTGTCATTTATAAGTGATGTGTCAAATATTTTTGTGGGTAAGATTAATGTGTGCCGTGAGCTGGATTTGATCCAGTGGCTGTAGTTTGGACACCACTGCCCTACATAATCTGCTTACTCTGCATAATTATAAGACTATACAGCAAACATGAGTGACTTTTTCTATTGTGGCATACTATCAAGTTTACTTTAAGCTGTATCTCTTCACTCATTCTTCTTTATATCTCTTCAGTTGTTATCTCATTCACAAAGCCTTTTGCTTTCTATTTTTGTATAATGCTATATCTTAAATATCCTATTCTTCATTTTGTTTTCTTTTAAAGTTCACAACTCACTTCCATAACTCATTACACTCCATTAATTAGCCATTAATTAGAAACTTTTCTTGCATATAGAATGATAGGAGAAACTGAGCTATACTAAGGCATTAAAATTTTAAATTATTATTTTTACAGATGACTGTGAAACATAATATTATGGTAAATAATAATAAGAATTTGAGGGATTACATTACTCTTTTGTTAAAGTTAAGATTCAATTTGAATCACGTCTTTGCTCATTATAGTAGAATTTTAATTAAAAGAAAAACGAAAATACAAAATTTATGTAAAGATGCAAAAACAATTTATGATCAAAGGTATTTTGGACTATTTTTTTCTATTTTAAAAATGTTGAATTTAAATTGAAATTACAAAATGATTTTCTAGGGAGGAAATTAGAAATCATTTACAAACTTTAGAAGAAACAAGTCAGTTGGAATTCTATCAGAATTCTCAAAAAATTAAAGAATTTACGAAGCTTCTAAAATTTCAAAAAGATCTATCAACTTTTATGATCCAAAAACAAAAGCCAAGGACAGAAGTTAAAGAATCAATGGACAAGTAAGTGTTTTGTTTCTAACTCCATCTGCTTTTCAGGTTCTAAGAGGGCCATTTTTCCATTACAGGTCTGCCAAACCAAGGGTTTGGCCAGACCCATAATGAATGTAGTTGTACAGTGAGAATAACATAACAGGTTGGAACCACTCATGAAAATTTTTGATCGTTTTGATCTGGCTCTAATCAAGATCAGCTAGGACAGCAGGCCTTTATTACTTTTGCCATCTGGTTTTGACAAATAAGTGTTGAATTTATTCAAAAATGATGCAATTAATTTTGTAATTTATTATATTTTAACATGTAATATTTATGATTTTATAATTATTTCTGTATTAAACATTATACAGAAGCACAAAGTATCATAATGAAGAACTAATGTAACAGTGGAATATGAAATTGTTTATCATTTAAGAATGTTTTTTGACTCATTATTGGAAATATATTATTCAAAAAAATAAATTTATTTTAACATATGTTACACATTTAATTATTAATTTATATTTATTGAAGTTTATATAGAAACTTATTCGTGAATTAGTATCATACCATATTTGTCTTGGCACTGAGTATCATACCAATTGTTGTCTTGGCACTGAGCTATCAGTTTCTAGTTTAACTTTATTATCCTTTGTATTAACTTTTAAAGTGTTTATGTAAAACTTGCATATAGAGATTTAATTACAAATATTATATTTTTTAATTTTTATCTGTTAATAGAAGGGATAAAGGAGAAGAGAACACCAAAGAACTTTTGCATTATTATAATAAAGCATTTGAGCGTATTAAAGAGGCTGCTCATGATAACGATATCAATAATATAGCAAAAGATTTTGTTCAGACTGAAGAAGAAAATTTCAAATTATTTAAATTTATAAATGAATTAAGGGATCAGAATGAACATATTTTAGAAAAGATAGAATCAATCAAAGAAAATTTAGAAGCTTTACGTAGAGAGGATGAAAGACAGCAACAACAACATGATGTTACAATTAATAAACTTGAGGTAAATATTCCATTTTGCTGATATATTGAATTTAATTTGAAGAATAAGATATAAACTGATATCATTGCAGAATAGATTAAAATTATTATCAGACACTACAAGCAGCACAGAAGAAAAGCTTAAGTTGTGCAAAAGAAGTCTTGATATGTTAAAGCAAGGATTAATTAATCTCTTCCGTGAAAGTGGATGCAATGACCAAGCATTGACTACTCTTTTAGGAGGTAGTGATGGGGTTACTAATGATAATATCTTAAAATATTTATCCATTCTAGAAAACTGGATCAGTGAACTCATCCTCTATCATCAATATTTGAAAGTTAAGGTAAAATTCTTAAGATTTTAGCAATCTTAATTGCATATAATTTTCAAGTATAAACTAAATTATACATTATATAAATCTTAATAGGATCCAGATAGTATAATGGGTAAAATGGCTGATAAAAAGCCCCCAAAAATTCGGCCTTCTGTATCAAGTTTATCATTCTCTGGAATACCTGCAAGTACTATTCCAGTTTTGAACCCAGCAATTGATGATATCGAAGATTCCTTTCATCAAGAATTTGATGTACCGGCTTTACCACAGTGAGTTTCTAAATGCTTAATACAGGGCTGAGTTGGAGTTGAAAGCAATTTTGAATGAGTTGGAATCAGTAAATATGTATCAACTCTCTAACCTCAATATTTCCTGTATAATTAAACTATTCAGTTACACTTAAATGTAAGTCTGAAATGTAGCCAGATGGTTTGTGAGTAGTGATGAAACATGGTATCATTTATCATTAATGCATATTGATCTTTTATGAAGGTGTCAGAGGTAGAAATTTAGAAATGGCAGCTAGAGTTGGAGTCAGAGTTTTGCATACTAACTCCTCATCCCTGCTTTAAAATATCAGCAAATATGTAATAATCATAAATCTTACACCTTTCTTATAGGGAAGACAAGCCAGATATTCAACAATCAATGTCATGCGTTCGTACTATTCTCAGTAGACAGGAATTAGAAGAGGTATCTCGCCAAAGAATTGAGAAAATGTTTAGTGAAGATGTTGGCAGTGTGCAAATTTTCAATATTGTTAAACATTAAATCTAAATTTGGTAATTATCATATGTTATGTAATCAGAAATTTTGTTTGATCTTAGAAAATAATATTTAATTTCATTTTTATTCAGTTGAATTAATCCATGTACTCTTAATTAATTAGCAGTGGGTAAAGTTTAAAGAATGCTAACATTTTTGACTCTGTTAAGTGGCCATTTTTAGATGTAGACAGTTGAAAGTGGAAAGCCAGTGCCAGAAAAGGAGAAGGTTGGGATAGAGTAAACAAGTGGGGAGGTGGACTACGACAGTGAATGTTGATGCAGTGTTGCACAGTGGTATGTGACATCAGTAGTGTTTATTCTATCCCATTTTCCTTCCTTACTTTCATTGACATTCCACTTTCAATTGTGCATGCCTGAAGATGACTCTGTAACAGCATCAGAAATGCTAGTGTTCTTTTAAATTTTACCCACTGTTAAAGATGTATTGATTAATTCAGTTGAGAATATACAATGTCTATTCATCTTTATTTTATTTTTATCAGTGGCAGGTTTTCCTAATGGGAAATTTTTCCCATTAGGCCCATAGACACAAGAATTTAGGGACACAAAAATTCAAAATAATAATAAATTATTTTTTCATTGTATGTTGTTATGTAGAAACAATTCATAAAGGAATTAGTGCAAATTAAAAGCTTAAGTAGGGACAAAATAAGACATGTCAATTGAGTATTATTAAAAAATATGAATGTTTTTTGCATGAATAGAGAGGTATCGATAGCAGTTCCCATTGCCCTTTTGATATTTATAAACATGTAAAAATTATTTCAGAATTAAAATTATGAAATGGAATCATTAAGTGTGAAAGTGGCACTATGAGTTTGGGAGAGCCTGGAGCCATATTCTGGTCACCATCTCTGGTCTCTTGTCTCTCACACGCCGGTCGCTGATTGGCTAATCGAAATGATTAACCAATCAGCGACCAGCTTGTGAGAGACGAGAGACCAGAGACAATGACCAGAATACGACCCCTGTATATTGTGGGCCTAGGGGTGCCATATTTTTAATGTACCACTGATTTTTATTGATGAATTTTAGGTTTCCTTCTAAGATAAATTATAAAATTATTCATTCAACTTTAATATTGATTCATAAATGTTTACATATTTTAACCAAATATATTTTTTTTAATATTAAGCTTATCTAATTTATCTTATATAAATAATTCAGATATGTATTTTACTTTCAGATTTTTACTTATAAAAAAATTTTCCAAAGAGAGCATTAACCTTCTACAATAGCAATATCCGGGATTAAATATATATATATAAAAAATTCATTATTTGAAACTACTAAATAAAAATTAAAATTTCTATTATAAATACTGTGTGAGAATTCTATTTAGATAATTATCTTGAATACTAATGTAAAAGATTGGCAATGCGGTCTATCACAATGCCAGGCTGCAATTTGAAAAAATTGTAGATTTATAAATTGCCATTGTTGTCTGTCCGTCTGTTTTCTCTTAATCTCCAGAACAGAGTTAGATAGATGAAAGACGAGACCAGGTAGGGACTTTATAGGTATACAATTTTTTCAAATTGCGGTTCAATGAGATGAAGTTGGCGTATTGCCATACATTTTATTAAATTAGAATTTTTATACTGAAAATTTAAAATGAGATTTATATTTGCATAAGTTAATAGTTTTCTAATCAGTTTTGTTAATCAGATAAGTTACACTTAATTCAGATTATAAAATTTTTATAGTGTTGTATTGTAGCAAAAATGTATCATTGTGTTTAATAATCCTCTCATCAAAATTTAGGAATTAGGTCCAGGAAAAATATAAACATAATAAATTAGGATAAGGAAAGAATTAATTCTCCTATAATTTAATGCAATTTTATATTTTTAATATATAGAATGGCTTAGAAGTCAGTTAACTGAGCTTGTTTGGAATAATTACATGTTTTATTTGTGATTTTATTGCTTTTAATGAAGCAAATGAATTAAACGTAATAATAATGTAAGCTGTTTCAAACTGGTTTTAACTGTTCTTTAATAAATTTATGCAACAGATATTAAATATGGTTAAATCTCTGAACAAGGAACACTGATGAGACATAAAGATTGGACGTTGTATGCAGATAACTGTCGTTTGAAGGTTATTTTGTATGCTTTTTTTAAAAAAAAATGAAATATATATAGTATACTTTTACTTTGCTATGTTGCATCTTTTATTCCTATTTACTATACTTTTAAGACACTTTTACTGCACATATTTACATTTATTTCATTTTATTAGTCTTTTACTACATATTTTTAAGCATTTAAACTGAAATTCGAGCAATTAGAATGTATAATTTCATTGTTTTATCACAAAAACTTCTTTAAATTTGGCACAAGAGATAAAACTGCTCTCACTCACTAGTTATTGATGAACAGAGAAAGCACTTTACCTTATCAATTTAATCGTTTTTAATTTTATCTCTCGAGTCACGAATGTATGCAAATGAGAAAATGTTGCTTCGTTTACGTTTAATATTTGTTTTTTTCATCTCATTCGGGTCAATCAATGACCTCGTTTTGTAAACAAACATCCCTCACTTCTAAGAACGTATCTATCTCTAGATCTCTTGAAGCTTATTCTGCATCCTAGCAAACATATGGCGTGTGTCCTACATTTTTGAAAGATTATGTAACGCAGAAGAAGAAATGACAATAACTTTTAGCGTAGTAAACACTCCTCATCGATTACTTTAGTAAAAGATCTTACACTCGCTTGTAACTATGCATTGCGTGATTCACCAGACAACAAAAATAATAGGGGCACACGTGATATACATGCGCAGCTTTACGATATAATGAGGGAGTAGAACTAATTCGAAAAATATGTCCGAACCCGAAGCCAACAGTGTGTATTCTATAACAAAAACAGCGACTGAAAATGGTGGCAAAGAAGCAAAACCCGAATCAAAAACTGTATCCGAGAAGGATGGCGAAGAACCGAACCCACAACAACCACCCTCGAGGACATCAACACGAAGGAAAACAAAGAAAACCAAAACAAAGAGAAATCTGTGTAAGGATCTGACAGTTATCGTTGGTTCCACCCTTTTGGTTTTTGTGTATGTTTGCTGCGGTGGACTCTTCTTTCATCTTTTAGAATCTCCTCAAATGAACGAAAGGGAACATCGTATGTTGAGGTTGAAAAACGACACGGCAATAATTCTAGCTACTCAACTCAGATTAGTAGTACCTCATGAGGAAATATGGCTGAGGACGATATATCATTCCTTAGATATCTATTATCGCGATCTCATGGAAATCTATGGCTCAACTTCACACTTAAAATCCGAGAAAGATACATGGAACTTTAAAAACTCTGCTTTCTTCTCAATATATTTAATGACTGCTACAGGTAAGATCCATTTTTTTTTTTAAATCTAAATATGAAGAAAGGAACCAAAGTAAACCTTAATTTTACAAGAAGAGATGCAAACATCGTAACGAAACTCTTGAAGTTACTCTTTATTGCATTCAATTTAAACGACTTTTGGTTCCTTTTTTTCAAAGAATTTAATTTTTAAATTAAAGTTTTAGTTGTTGGGCTGCAATTTGAAAATGTTATAGACTTGTAAATTCTTACTGTCGTCCGTTGCCTGTCCATAATCTCGAGAATGGAGTTAGATAGATGAAAGACCAGACCAGATGTAGAAACCTTAGGGGAATAAGACCTAGATTTAATTAACTATAGAAACCACTGATGGAAACAGCCGAAAGTCACGTTATTTCAATTCAAAATTTTCCTCTGATAGGTGTTAGATGATAGGCACGACTTAATTATGATGTGCAGAGGCAAGCTGCTATTAATTTGTGGTGAAGAGCATATATTTTAAATTAAAAATATGGTATTAAAAATTGCAGCCCAGCATTGTGACGATGTCACAATAAATAAATGCTCGTTGTAGTTATATATTTATTATAATTCTGAGAAATGTTATTAATTTCTTAGATGTCGTGCTATTAATATAAATGAGACCATTGATTTTTCTGAATACTTTTCATGTGACAGAAATTAAATCAAAACGGAAGACTAAATCCATTATTTTAATTATCCATACATTTATAGAAAGATTATGTATCTTTTAATAGCGTAAGATGTCGACTTTATAAATCCTTTCCTGAATTTTGAAATAATTTTTAAATCCTAGTTCTTTATGCAATTCCTCATAACTGTGCTCTATTATAATTTGAGGAAAAGAGATATTCTTTCACACAATTCCTCATAACCTATGAGGAATTGTGTGAAAGAATATCTCTTAATTCATGATAGAAGTTATTAGAAGATTTCTTTATAGCTCTATGAGGAACTCGTACATTTGTATTGTGCTTCTAGAGCCACAAGGAATTACTCTGTACTTTAGATAAGAGTTATTCGTGGCTTTTGAAGCACGATATAAATGTATGAGAATTATTTCATAGTGCTTCAACTTGAATCATGATATGAATCTATAATAAACGCTCTAAATACTTCCATGTGCAATATTACTGGCACACACTGGATCGATTGTACGGATCGAATTGATGGTCGTGATTCATCATTTTCAAATTTTCTTTGTTTTTCTTAAAATAATTAACGAATTTTACGTGTGCCATCTTTATCAGATGATCGATAAATACAATCATGTTCTGTATTTCATTAATTGAAAATACAGGATGGCCCAATTGTCGGTTAACCGGAATTTAACATTTTTAAGAATAATGTTAAAAATACAACACAATTAATTGAGTTTTCTGTCACTCTATAGGGCCTCGCGTTATGAGTCTGTAGCTTAAGATCTCATATTTTTGCATGTATCATTATTTGATGGAGAGGGAAGGCCTGTTATATATTATACTTTAGGGTCACATGTCACTGGTCATTTTCATAAGAGCTGCGTATATGCTGTGAGAAAAAAGGTTGAAAAACACTGATATATATTTATATACAAACATTGCCCATGTGTATATAAATACAACGTATTGTATTCGATATATACTGTATATGTATATTATATGCATCGTGTGTTTATGTATATAATGTGCATGTATAGAATAATATGTGTGTATATATATTTTGCATTATATACGTATATAAGGCAGTGTTTATGAAGATACAGGGTGGTCCAAAAATGAGTTAACTAATGCGAATTACGAAATAACTTATAATTTGATATGTTAAAGCTTTATTAAAATGAAATTAACTTCGATTCTGATATTGCATAAATTAATTTTATGATGCAGTCTTATTCTTTCGTTAGGTTCCTTCGATTCATCACCTTACACCACTTGGGGGAAAGGTGTGTCCATAGTTTTCGCCGCCATAGGAATACCTTTAATGATAATCTGGATAATAATTGTCGGAGAAGGTATGTCATCAGCATGGCTCTGGCTCTTCAGTTCGAAATGTTATTTTTTCAGGATCAAGAAAATCGAACCCGAAATCAAGAAAACCCGAAAAATTCAAAGTGCAAGAAAGAAGAAACCGGAAATATTGATCGTTGCAGCCATTTTGTCGGTGGTACTATTTATTATATATTTTTTTCTAGGTGCAACTCTTATCGCTTATAATTGTAACGAGTTGACATTAATTGATAGTATGTACGTTCTTTTCTTAACGTTTTCAACAATTGGAACGAATTGTTTCGTTCCTACGTCTGCTAAAACCATTACCTTTATACCGAAGCTTCTCAAAAATGCTTACTTTGTAGGTTACGTACTGATTGGTTACTTGATTTTATCATTTGCAGTTTGTACAGTTTATAAATTAATAAAAATGAGAAAGTAAATGGTGGTCTATTGTTAATTTTTTTTTGTATTTAGAACAATTGTATACACTATAAGAGCGAAAAGTTTAATTTTTGGTCGTTGTAAATGAAGACATTCAGCATAGTTTTCTGTTGCAAACAGGTAGAATCGGTAAAACCAGTGGTGGATTATGACCAAGACAAAAAAGACAATTGAATTGGTCATTAAATTTCAAGGGCCCGGTGAAGAATTAGAAATTCTCAATACTGTAAACGATATAAATGAGAAAATAAATATATTTTAAAGAAAAATAATATAGTCATACAAAAGAAAAAATAAGGAAACAGTTTAATGAAATACAAAAGCTAGTGCAGGGCCCGTTTGAGAGTTAATTTGTCACTAGATGAAACTAAAATTTTAATGTTACCCAGCTGAAGAGATCTTTTGGTGGTCGAAAAAGCTTTCTACAGATTTTAGTGCGGTAAAGAATCCTATTGTGTACATCAAGCATTTTGTAGAAGAGAATATCAGAAAAGATAAGTGTGTAGTGAAACGTGAACTAAAAAAAAAAATACTTGCAAAAAATCCCAAAGTTAAAGTCAAATGCCGTATCAACAATATTTCCTAGCTACCAAAATATTTAAGTGAAAATTCAAGTAGAACAAAGACTATTCTGATGTTGAAGAAGAGAATATGAAAAAAAACTATTCAAGAAAATTTAGAATCATATAAGAGCTACATAGAAACAAGAAGTAAATTTATTGGAGGTCATTTTGTAGCTATTACCATAAGAATTATTTTGATAAAGGATGGATTTTAATTAATAATACTTTACAATACAAAACTAATATGAAAAATGAAACATTATCTTTAAAAAAGATACTGCAAAAATTGTATGTTTTTAAAAAAATCACACTATTTTAGATGAAAAAGTTATGAAAGTAGTTAAAATTATTAAATAAATTAACTAACTAATCATGATGATGATAGAGATGTCAGTTGTTTCAAATGAAAATAAAAGATACAATGGATATACATTTATTTTGGCAATATCATATATATTCAGGTCCCATCTGCAGACTGTTTACAAAAAAAATTGTAAAATTACCTGTGAAATTTTAATAAATAAAGAGAATATTACATTATATTTTCCATAGATTTATTGCAATCGGAAAATGTACATATATTATCGCAAGTTTTTTTGTACTAATTAAAATGTCTCTGATTTTTCTGCAAGAGAGACGTTTTAAAAATTTTTTTTCATGTGTAAATTAAATATAACCAAAATTATAATCGCTTACACTAAAAGCGTATTTCAAATTATTTCAATTAGTTCTAATTGATACGTGTGAATGTTAAATGATCAGGGAAATATGACGTGATTTACAGATCACTTGGGGCAGCCAAGGTACATCTGCGAGGAGACGTTTATGATAAAACCACTAAACACTAGTGGAACAGGTCGCGTGTTCGCGCCTAACCAATTGACCAATTTGTGTTTTATGGGATTTATGTGTTAGCACCTAAATCGAGACCAGTTTTCCATGGAAAGTGCGATATGCCAAGGAAAGAGGACTTTCCTTGGCAGATCGCCCTCGAATTGCATTTCCTTATTTCACATATCTATTCCATTTTTAATTTAAATATAAATTAAAATTATCATAAAAACGAGAGAAAGTGAAAAAATAATACATGTACTAGAAATAAATACATTAATACATGATAAATCAAACTAAATAGTTTTCAACTGTACATTAAGTTTAGGAAAATTATAAAAATGTACGAATTAAGATACTAAAAGCATTGCCAGTCGCTAACCAGAACTGAATTAACCATTACACGAAATACCCTTTTACTGTTTACGTTTCCCTTACCTAAAGGTAAAAAAAGGCTCATAACAAGCTGACTTTTTTCATGTTTAAGGTAACTAGTATTTATTTTCATCATTACATAAGGCACCAGTACATAAACCGAATAGAATACAATCAACCAACACCACTATAATAATAATAATAATAATAACAATACGCTGTTTCTCAGAAAGTCTAAAATACCGATCGCTGGATAGACGAGATAGTTAAGGCGTCTGCCTACTTCTCTGAGGGATAATGGATCGAATCTTGGAGTGAAATCCCAGAAATTTCTCAGGTGGTCTGTCTCGAATACGTTCGGGTCCCGTTCATCACCATCCGACAGTTCCTATTGTGATCTTGGCTGAATCGTTTTATGGACCTGGAAAGAAGTCTTTATTAGTTTTCACAGAGCGGAGAGACAAAATGCAAAAGACTAGGATTGAATTGGATTAACAGAAGAAGACAAACGTAAAGCATGGGCGAGCTGCCAAGAGGGGAGTGTATCTCGCTGAGGACTTTCTATGAGAAACTGGTTCCTCGTGAGGGGTTAGAGATATAAAGAAAACCCGGAAAACTCCACATAGCGAGCACTTTGATGAAATGAGAACCCCGACCAACTACCATGCTCGGTGGTTTTATCAAATTTGCCCCGATGGATGTAAAAAGACTAAATATTTGGAAAGTAAGTACTAATAATTTAAACTTTGAAAGTGTTTTCTTTTATAATACTTCTCCTCTTCTTAACCTTTGAGAATCATACCTTTTCGTAATGGACGTAATTGTGGGCCATCCATATATCTATAACGTGTTGGCTGTTCGCATTTATCAACCAACTTTTTATTATGTTGGAAATGGTTGAGTCAACTTTAAGAAATTTAAAAAATAATNTACATTGCATTATTTCTATAATTTAATTTTTATTCATAGCAGAATTTTCATAAATAAATTTTCAAATTAAACTTTATTATACAATAAAGCTATTATATACTGTATATATATAAGCAAACGCGTTTTCCATCTGCAGTACTAAGTTGGTCACACGACCATCACCTAATCTCTACGCGCCCTGGTCTATATTTCTTGTTGGCCTCGCATTCTACTAACCACCTACATTTGATCGGCCCTCTGACGCTACTTGTGCCCCTGCAGCCACCCTATGGGTGCTCTGTGTCACCCAATCCCCATGGAGTATGCGGACTATGCTGGTCTAGTCTGCCAGTGGCAAAAAGAGAGCACAATGGCACGCTCCACTTCGAGTGTCGAGCTCGTGGTGCCACCTTCGAGAAGCTAAAGCCCACCAAAACTCATCAAGCTAAGGCAAAGGACTGCAGCAATCAAATCTCTGTTACGATCCTCTTTCTGTCTGTCCAGAACTCCAGATACCAAACTGGTATATTCGACAGATACCGCTACGATCCAGGAATAGGAGAAGGATGATAGAGATGTCAGGAATAGAGTGTCTCAGCAAGACTGCACCATCCGGGTATGCACCAGCAAGGCTTCACCGCTAGCATCCCTATTCAAGCAGGAATCAAACAGGGCTGCCCCATCAGCGCCCTACTCTTCAACCTTGTAGTGGAAACTGCCATAAAAAGCATACACCAACTGAACAGGGGTACAAACTGCACGGGACACCAATTGACATCCTCACGTATGCTGATGATTTAATCCTCATCAGCGCATCCTCTGAAGACCTAAAAGCACAGCTGAACATTATTAACACCTAGGCCAACTGGGCTGGGCTCATCTTCAAACCCAGCATGTGTGCTACCCTATCCGTGCTGGGAAAAAGACATACAATCAGCAACATCACGTTCAACATAGGTGAGTAACCAATCCCGCCCATGAAACAGAAAGACTACTACATACAACTATGGATCCCAATATGCTTCTCCCAGCACTGGACCAGCATAGATGTGACAAACATCATTAGGAAGTTACAATTTGACCAGTTGCTGCTCACATCCTGGCAAAATATAGACACAGTTACTACGTTCATTATGCCAAAGTTATCTTTTCTCCTCCTGTTGGGATGAATCCCAAAGAAATCATTACACAATATCGACAAACTAACTAATAGGTATGTCAAAAATTGGCTATACCTCCTGCAACAAGCAAGTACGGAAGTAATAAACCTCTCACAAGGACGCTGAGGAGACAACATCATACCCACCAGCGACCTAGCAGATATCGCCCAGATCAATCATGTCACTCGGCTTCTGCAATCCACGAACCATCGTATTAGGAGCACTACAAGAAATAGTTCAGAAAAGAATCCGCCACACACCCATACTGGAAGATATATGCACTTGAGTGGATCAATGACAGACGACTTCTGTCTGTACTGACATATAGATATTTCCTCCACGATTCCATATGGCCCAGACGACTAAAGAAAAAGATCAACATCAGCTGGACCAACTACAACAATATCAAATGTGGTTGCAACACGATGGAGTGCCATCACACTTTACATTCCATGTGCTGGAACCTATGAATCTCACATATATATGCCGGACTTTAGGTTGATTCTTTCTGTCTCGCGAGCATTATGTTTACTATGTTCTTAGCTGAAAATTTATGGTTATAATATGATACAGAAAAGTGGGTTAAAGGTCAAAATTTGATTAACACGTACTGTACGTGGTTGTTATTTAAAATTTCAACATTTTAAGAATAAACAAAGTTAAATGTGTGAGAAAAATGACTTAATAACAATGAAACTTTTACAATCGAATTGGCGTAATTAGAACATCGAATGAGGTTAATGTTTGAAGTTTCTCGAAAAATTCACGAGAAAGAAGTCAAATTTTGAGAAATTTTGTCAAAATTAATCTGAATAGATTAAAAAAAGGATAGAATAAAAAATTAGGTCATAGCGTGAATTGGAGGGTGTGATTCCTTTCGTGACTTTCTATCATTCATAAAACAATAATTAACAAGCTAGACGATAGACAAATAGTTTATTATATTACAGTACAGTAAAAATTCTATTATCCGTCAAGGTTCGTTGCCATTACAGATATGAGAATACATATTTGTAATAGAATCTCCCCTATCGGCTAAGAAAAATTTATAATCCACAATCCTATACAATCTTATATCAGCGAAAAAAAGGAAGGTGAGCACGTGTAGGAAGAAACAAAGAACTAGTGATTCTTAATAGAAGGAAGATAACACCGTATAG